AATCGATAGGGTCGATAACAAATAGGTATATCACTAGTAAGTTTTATTTCCATCTCCACCTTAGTGCATCCCAATTCAGAGGTTTTTGTATTAAAACATCCATCATATTTTTTTAAAAGATCAGTCAGTTGTGGTTGTATATCTTTAGTCTCGGGCGTTGTCTTTGCAGGTACTTCAGCCCTTGAAAGCTGCCCCGAAGAGATTCCCCGCGCAATACATTGCCCTTTTTTAAATACTGTTGACATTTGCTAATATTTAGTACTGTCAAAAGTCCTTTGCCATTGAACACTTCTATTTCCTTAGCAGGAACAATTACTGTGTTTCCTCTTGAAAATTGTTCTGATCGGAAAATTTTTACACTGCCATATATGATTTCGCAAAATACTTGGATTTTATTAACTCCTGGGACAATAGTTGTTTCGTCTTCAATATGTATACACTGTTTATCGTTTATTTCTACATCTTCAGTAGGCAATTCTGATTCATCATTATAGAAGAGTAAACTATTATCTCGTTTAATAAGGCATACTTTGGGTAATTCAGTAAAAGTTCTGCCCACCAGTAGATCCATTTGCTGAACAGTGTCTTCTACTATAACCACTGGAGCTCTTCGTTCAACATCATCAATTTTTATACATGCTGTTGTTTCGCCTAAGGAAGGTATAATAGCCCCGCCATATCCTTGCATAAATGTTATCTTATTTTTATCGATAGATAATCCCAGAGCATCAGCGCTTGACTTTTTCATGATAGTGCATGCACTTCCAAAATCGACATACGATGATATTTCTTCATTATTAATCATTGCCGTAACGTGATATTTCTTATCGTTTTCAGAAATGTAATTTATCTTTGCTGTGTCGCTAGCTGATTTTAATTTATAGCATTTTTCGCGGGAATGTCCAGTTTTCTTGCAGTAAGAGCAAGTTTCAATTGCTTTATTTCTAAAACAATATTTAGCTTTGTGACCTGTTTTGCCGCAAGTGTAACATGATGTTTGTGTATTAATTATTTTATTAACTCCACTGGGTCCCGCTCGGTTATGTTTATTTATTTGATCCGTTTTTCGTGTCGATAACATACTGGAATAGTTTGACTCAACTAGAAATTTTAAAAGCGTGTCTGTGTTTTTACAACCGGCTGCCTGAGCGCTTGCTGTCAATAAATTATTATTTAATGTCGATATGATGACGTCCGTAACGACATGGTCGGGTAGATCACAATGTTTTCCCAAGCGCAGTTTATTATAATAAAATGAAACCACATCTTCATTGTGCTGACGTTCATAGTTTACAAATTCTTTTAATTTAGTTGCAATTGAGCGAACAGAAGGAAAAATTGTTTTTAATTTTTCTTTCCATTCGTGCCAGTTATTGTTTATTTCTGTTTGACAATCATACCAAGCTTTTGCGTTACCGCTGAGACGGCTTATCATGCAAAATATTCTCGCTTTATTATCCCAGCCGTAAAGATCTCCAACGGAATCGATTTTATTTAACCATTGCGTTATCGTTATGCTTTGAGTTGAGGCGTCAAATTCTGGTATAAGTTCCATACGACCGACAAAACGCTGAGGTACGCAATCTACTGATTTGCGGCTATTCGACTCCGACCGCTGCGTCCTCGAATCACGAATTGGTCTACTAGGTGTCGAAGAGCGAGATCTTCATCTGGAACGGCGGCGGCGTAGCGACGGCGGTGTACCGGGAGGCGTTCGATGTTCTGAGTCCGGAGATGCGCCGGTTCCCACTTTATTAAGTATAAGTTGTTCTAGTTTCTCGAAACGCTTTTCAAATTTTTCCTCTAATCTGCGATTATTGCTGTTATAATGAGAACGCTCTCGAGATGGAGAACGGGAACGCAGTCGTCGATTTTTATAATTATGCGGAGATTCCATGCTCACTACTTTTCGTGATTTTTTTTTGAGGTTTAATAATATAATATTTTCAAGAATAATTCCGTAATATATTATGCAATTTCGTTTTCAGACGGATAAGTTCTAATGAGTTTAAGGCCAAAATATAACTAATATTTAATTAAATGCAGGTTAACTTAGGCTACAATATTGAACAGTCACTCACCAGAGTATTTATAACTTCGCTATTGTCCTTTTCTTTTTCAACAATACACAAGAAGCACAAAAAGTGTCAATCTCAATGTTTATCTTCACTAACAAATAATGTTTTAAAAACACACGAGTTCAGATCTCATTTCTGATTATGTTAAGGAAACAAATATTTAGGATTTGCACTCAACTATTTATTGAAAAATTAAAAGAAAATATATGATATTATGCTACACTAAAATAAAAACGAATCAATGTTTGTCTTTTCACTCTACCGTCAGACGATCGGTGACGGTAGAGTGAAAAGACAAACATTGATTCGTTTTTATTTTAGTGTTACATAATATCTTATATTTCCTTTTAATTGTTCAATAAATAGTTGAGTGCAAATACTAAATATTTGTTTCCTTAACAGTAGTTATGGTGAGGTCTAATATTGAACCATAACTTTTACTTTGGAAAGTAGGCTTATCGCCTTGGTTGACAACACAGAGATCATTGCTTGCCATCCATTCTACCATTAATCTGTCTCGATTGTCCGTGACGTTCATTCCCCATTGGACTTGGCATTAAAATCACCGGCAACAATGGCGTTTTCTCTTGTGCTCTTAATTTGTTGTCCTATGTGCCAAAGAATATCATCCAGGTCATTAATGTCATTGTTTCCCGAAGAATAACAGCTGTAGAATGTTAGGTTTTTTGTGGCAAAATATGCGTAACCGCGGTCCTGGCCTTGTTTATGTATTGGTATATTGCCGTCAATAATTTTTATTGCGGTATCCCCTCTTTCATCGCATATCTAGTCTGCTCGGTTTTTAATGGCCGTTCGATTTGGCTCGCTTACAATCAAAATTGCCGCACCTATATCTTTTGCTGTCACCAAAGCAATATCATGCGCTGGTCGGCTTCTATTAGTGTTTATTTGTAGAATTCTCATGTTGGCTTAAAGATATATGCCCTTTATCATTACCCTGTTTATCTATCTAGACATGACGCTTGGCCAGTTTGGTGGCGTTCTTTTTTACAGTTAATGCAATATGGAGGATAAGTGCATTCGGATATCTTCTATTCGGATATGTCCATCTTTGGTACATCGCATACACAATTTTTCGCGATTTGGTCCAGTGCATTGTTCTTTTACATGCCCAGACTCCCAGCATCTGAAACATCGCACTTTCTTCTCTCTTTCGATGATCCTATAGCTTGACCATCCGATTTTTATTGTTCTCATTTCTATTAGCTTGCTAGCATCATCATCGTTAATAATTATCGTCGCATTTCGTTTATTTTCAAACGCAGGACGAATTGCCCTGATTTAAAATTCCTTTGTTGCACTTATTGCTTCTCTTATAGCTTCCCTTATTTCTTCTTCGTCAACCAGTTCATCCATATATTTGATATGCAGAATCGTCTTTTTGGTGAGTAGGGACGCGACCACACCTGGCACCTTTTCTCGTAGCTCTCTTTTTAAAATCTCGGCTCTGTCGGTTCCATTTCCAATTGTAAGAAGTAGCCCATCATTTTTTGTTCTTTTTAAATTTTTTATATCCACATCTAATTCATTGGGATTAACAGCTGCTTTTAGAGTCTTCAGTAAATCGGCATATGATTTATCTTTCATTTATACCAAGATATTTTCGCCAGTTATTTTTTTTGTAGGTAATTTCGCGCTGCTCTCTGTTTCTGCACTCTGGTCTTTAGAACTTTTGATTCTTGTTCGTTTGTTAATATTTCTGAAATTGGGTTTATAAATTGCAAGCTCTATTGAAGTTCCAATACACAAAAATTTAAGCATTTTTATGATTCTCGGTCCATTCATTTCTGGTATCGCTAATTTAGTACGGTGGTTATCAATCATGTGGCACTTTATTATTTTTAAGGCATTAAAAACGCAGTCGTCTTTTGATTAAACCTATCAAAATTTGCTCTTTAGTTTCTTCAAATTCTAAATAAAATGGCTTACATAGAGAGATTCAGACCTATTTTGCTTGTATTCATTTTTCGTATTTTCATGTTCTCCCAAATTTCTGTCATATTTATCCTTAATTTGAAGGTTTTCTAAAACTTTGACTTAAAATCGCTATAATCCTTTATTTCCCTGGCATTCAACATATACCAATTCTTAGCAGTTCCAACTAAATGTATTTTTGCAGTAGTTTCCAATTGTTCCATCCAATCCATTGCAGTCTTGTCTAACGTTTCCCCATTAAAATCACTAATGGACTTACTGAAATCTGAGATAATTTGGTATTTCTGGACATTATTTTGTTGTTGAATAAGTCTCATTAACCTTTCTTCACTCGTTATACAGCTCTGTTCTATCATTTGCATCAAAGCCATTATCTGTTTTCCTACATCTGACGATCCCATAGCTCCAGGAGCTTTCTTAAAATTAGGAATCTCCTTTTCCCCGGAATGTCTTGTAAAATTCTGATTAAATCGAGGCATCCGGAATAAAATTCTCAAAACAACAACTTTGTCCTTCACAAAACATCAATTCTCTCACAAAACATCAATCTCCAACTAACTTCAGTTCTATTTTTAACTGTCAATAGACAGGCTAAGCCGTGACGTCATGAGAGGCGTGGCCATAAAAACCTTTCCAAACAAACCGCTTCCTTGTGTTAATTTGCATATGAGTTTTTTTGTTAAAAGATTGTTCCTTTTGGAATTAAAAATAAGAGCTGAGACTGTTCGAAATAGGTAATGTATAATTTTGTGAAAATTAACTTATTTAGTTTCTTTAGAAAATAATCACCGAATTTTCTTAAAATAGGTTTGAACGTTAGTGAGGTTATGTTTTCACAGTAAACACTTTATTTTAGAATGGCTTCTAAACATGTCCTGTCGTTTTCAAGTATTATAGCCTTTTATGAGGGTGATAGCAAGATGATTAAAAAAGGGGAAAATGCATTGGAATCCAACCATGTTCTAAAAATGCAATTTGACGGCTCACTTTTGTTGATAAGAGGCGAAGTTCATGCAAGCATGAAAGAAAAGGTTACAAAGTTGAGGTAAGTAATTTTTATTTTCTACCAGTTTTCACTTTTACTCCTTTAATCTATGATTATTTTTAAAAAAATACTTAATTTGTTAACCTGAAGGTACTATTTTAGATTGGGCTGAACAGTGATGGAGAACTGACTTTGGCAAACTGTTCTTGTCCAAAAGGAATAAAATGCCATCATATTGTAGCGCTAGCATTATTTGGGCATTATAACATATCTACAACAGACAAAGAATGTTCATGGAATGCTCCAAAAAGTAAATTTGCCAATTATCGAAAACATATTATCATCAGATGAGTTTGTCAATGCTTCTGAAAAAATAAAATACTTAAAAGAAAAATGTGCCATTGACGATGCACATATAGAATATATTGCTGAAATTACCACAGGCCAATCTCAAAATGAAAAATGGTTTTTATTAAGAAAACATCGACTTCCTGCAAGTAATTTTGGAACTATACTTGCTGCTTGTCAGAGAAATAGATTTCCTGATAGTTTATTTAAGACTTTAACTGGTAAGTTTATTGTTTTTCTCAGTTTCAACCTAAAATGTGTTTATTTATATTTCTATATTTTTAGGTTCGTACAGTCCTGAAGGTGTTAAGGCGATACAGTGGGGCAAAACGCATGAACAAAGTGGAATTGATTTCTTGAAATCCGACCTTAACAAGGATATTAGGCCAACAGGATTATGGCTGTCAAATACAGGAATTTTGGGAGCAAGTCCTGACGGTCTAATTGATAATGACACCATTGTGGAAATTAAATGTCTGTATACTTATAGAAATGATAAATTAACAGAAAAACTTAAAAATGATACAAAATATGTAATATATTTTAATGATGATGGGGATATAATTATAAATAAAAATCACAATTATTACCATCAGATCCAAGGAAACCTTTTTTTAACAAGAAGAAAACAAAGTATATTGTGTATTTGGACTTTGCAAGAAGTAATAAAGGTGACAATGGATTATGACTTAACATGGGTCCAAAACTTGTCAGTTTTAGAAAAATTTTATTTTTCTCATTACCTTCCCCGTTTATTAGAAAGTTAACATGTAGTTGTAAAATTGCTTAATTTTTAATAATAATAGTAATTTGAAAGACTGATAGAAATTGTTTTTTTTATTAACCTTTAATCTTTTTGCTGTGACTATATAAAAAAATGATTTTCAATTGTTTATAACTTGAAAACAGTTGAAGATAGGTATAGGACTTTATACACAAAAAGTGCTTAAAATTTTGCGTAGAATCTAAAATGTAATAATTATAATATTATGTCTCATTTAAAATTAGTCAGTTAAAACTCGCCCAAGAAAAACTATATTATGAAAATAAAAAATTATAGGCTCGTAATATGCTTATAAATTTTTGTAGTTAACTTTTTGCTATACCTCCGATACTTCTGAGATATCTGAGATAAGTGTCCCAAGATAAACGGCCCACCCTGTGCCAAAATAAATTAAGTATGACAAGCTAACAAAATAAAATAAGGATATTAATTTTTAATACTTGTCTTTATTTAAAAAAAACTATTTATAACTTTTAATTACATTGGATAAATAATACCTACCAAAACTGTGTAAATAACTTATATTATGCATAATATTCTTCCACTTCTTTAATCAATGGATACTGAAAATTAGTTAGTGCTGCACATAACTGAAATATTGTTGATATCTGTGATATATAATATTGGGGGACTCTTTGTAAAAAATTAAAACATTTTATACGTCGAACTGACCTTTCCACATGGATCCTTGCCTTAGCAATGTTTTGTGTTTCATAAACTTGTTCTGGTGTAAATTGTGGTATGCTCAAAAATGGAGGAATATTTAAATGTACACCTGAAGGTAATAAATCTTTGATTAAAAAGCCTTTGTCGGCTAAGATCAGATCTCCGGAAACCATTTGATTTAATACACCACAATGTTCCACTATTCTTTTATCAGACACTGATCCGGGGTAGGCCTGACTGACATAGGTTAATACCCCATTGGGTGCAACTCCTACTAATATCTTCCAAGTATTTCTGTGCTTATAAGAACTGTATGTCAGTCTTTGATGTTCCATACTGCTTGGTGTATCTCAATATATTTCAGTGCAATCAAGAATAATACTGCAGCTTCTAAAGGTTTCAAATGCGGAAGGAAGACATGTCTGGTTTTTAGACCTTGGCGGAATTGTTTTCATTAACTGCAAAAACAGGACATTATGTAATGCAGATATCCATGTCATGACAACATTTGTGACAGTGGCTGTACTGCACCTAAATCTTAAAGCCAAATATTCATGAGGTACATTAAGCTTCAATTTCATTAATGTCATTAAGAGCTGATCTATTTTAGGTAACATTTTTACATGCCATTTTGCATAATAATTTAAGGAAAAGTTATCCATAGTCTCAAACAGCACCATAAATAAGTGGTGAGTTGGTAATCCAGTGTACATGAGGACATGTGCATCATTTTGCTTTATTTGCTCATAACTGAAACGGGCTGTCAAGTCGTTAAGTTTTTTGGTCAGTTCTTCCACTTCTTGCTTCAAAAAGTAATTTTCCGCTTCCAGACTGGCACCTGACATTCTATTGGTAGTTCGTGATTCAGTATCTTCCTGGCTTGTTGATGGTTGGTATTCCGATATTCTACTGACACTTCTAGATTCAATAGCTTCTTTACTTGTTGACGGTTGATCATCGGGGTTTAAGCTCAAGCTTTCGGTACTTATACTAATAAGGTTCTCTACATCAACACTATTGGAAGCACGTTTTCTAAGAATAAAAATGTATTGCTTTAATATATTTATTTTACTAATTGGAAAAAAACTACCACTATTACTTCTCCTGCCCTAAAAAACATTACCATTACCACAACAAACCTTACCTTTTCTCTGGGCTTAGAAAATTCATTTTTCTTTTAACATTAAAGTTAAAAATTGTAGGTCTATTTTTCCTATTCTGGCCTACAAAATGGCAACTACAAACTAAGGAATGTTTAGTTGGTTCTCGGTCTTGCCTTCTAAAAATGTAGAAGATTGGAAAATCATTATGGTATATCATTTTCCACAGAATAACATACCTAAGAAGTTTAATCCATGCTTTCTTTTCATCTGGATTGGCCGGAAATACAAAAAAATTGCATTTTTTTCTTCACTGTAGTGTTTGCAATCAGGAGAAAAAAACATTACCATCTTAACGATGTTAAGAAAATAGAGAAGGTTGAACACTCTAAAAAATATATATCACAAAATTAGTAGAAATCGAGGTAGAAATTATTTTTAATTTAAAAAAAAGCACAAAGAAAATGCAGTAAACAAAAAAGTAACATAACCTCAAACATGTTTCCCTGTAAATATTTCTGTTATACGATATATTTACCTTGATCTGACGATGTTAGCGGCTAATAGCTACGATGAAGAATATAAATTAAGAAACAAATAGTCTTAATAGTTACTAGTAAAACTAAAAACAACACTTAAAATCTCTCCTATGGCGTTCAAAATTACAAATCCAAATTGTTTGGAAAGGTTTTTTTGGCCACGCCTCTCATGACGTCAGACTTAGCCTGTTTATTGTCAATACTGCTTGATTCAGACCTAATTTACTTAAAAGAAGAACCGTACCAACTGTTCGATCAATAAGTGTCCCTAGGTTAAGACCTTTCTCACCGAGTTGTCCACGTTTTATCGTCTAACCTATATTTTTCACCATATAACTTATTTTCAATTTCAGGGAAACTACACGTTGTTATTAATCTCACTTCTGAATTTGTTTGAACTTATTTCTAGTCCAAAGTAGTAACTTAACTAATGTTTATTTTACACAATTATTACGTGAGTCGATAGTTAACAATAAAATATTATACTCTTGCCGTACAGTTTTCTTTTCATAATCCCACCTCTCTACCTCTACGTCACATTTTCAAGGCTCTAGCTGTATAACGGGTTGCATCTCCTTAAATGTCGGTAACAATGCGATCGTTCGTTTCTGCGGCTCGTTCGGTCAAAGAGTCGTGACAATTGATTCATTACTGACAATACGGTTCGTTCAATTGAATCGCGACTAGCACAGATCCATAAAATTTGAACGATGAGCCGTAAAAAAGAGTCGTAAGAATTGAATCGGATCACAATGCGATTGTTCGTTTCTACGCCGCGCCGGCGCCGCGGCGATGATATAGGCATAGAGAGAGTCGGGCACCAATATTTAATAATAATAATAATAATAAGAAAACCTGTGTGGTTGCCGGGTTGTAAAAAGAATAGTGCAAAGGAACCTCCTGCCTGTCGTAACAGGCGACTAACTGGAGCAGCTCAACATTATGGAGACAAGTAAAAGTTTAGTGATTTTATTAGAGCCGCTGCCTGGGGAGCGCCAGGGCGCGTCTGGAGTTGATGCTGGACGTGACAGTATGCGGGACATCAACCTTACGCAGTTGAGGAGGCGGGCGCGTGAGAACCAAGAAGCTACAGCCCCACCCAATATCGAGGAGAATATACAAGATGGGACTGAACAACAAAATCCCCCTTTGCCTGACAGCTCGCGAAACCTAAATCTAAGGGTAGAGCTGCTGTTAGGAGAGATAAACCGAAGCGTATTAAATGGACTAAAGAGTTAAACTATGATATTATGAGAGTCTATTTTTACGTTTCTAAGTGTCAAGATATTCCACCACCCGGTTGGAGGACGCAACTCCATTCAAAATTCCTAGAATTACATCCGGAACTCCTGATGACAGAACAGAATGTGGTAGACAGAAAGAATGTGATTGTAAAGAAAGGCTATGTAACACCAACTGAAATAGAAACAATAAGAAGAGAAGTCGGACAAAAACTCACGGTGGAGCAGGAACAACATGAAATACAGGAAAACACTGAGGGACTAGCAGATATAAGAGAAGAACTTCAAGTAGTACAGGAAAATGCGAGAGAGCAGACAGAAGAAAGAGAGGCAATAATTACAGATCAGGACAGACCAAACATAAACGAGGTTGAGGAAAGATATTTAAGCAATTTAAGTTTTCTTCAAAACATAGATCCCTTAAAAAGGCCAAGACTTCCACAGCTAATTATGAAACCAACCACAAAAGTCACAATTACACATGTTGACGCTGTGCTGCGGAAATACCTTACAAATGTAAACAGTTTGGAAGTGGTGCACAATACCATCTATACTGCAGCTACTACAGTGCTAGAAATCAACGGTCGGGCAATACATTTTGAACAGGATACCGCACATAGACATAACAAAAGCAAAGAGCCTCAATGGAAAACCAGAATTACAAGAGAAATAGATGAATTCAGAGCTAAAGCCGACCTCATAAAAACCTACCTGGAAGGAATAAGAACAGCAAAAATTAAAAAGAAAATTAAAGATGTCCTAAAAATTCTAAAGATTAATGAAGGTTGCACAGACTTAAATCAGAAACTAACAGAACACTACGACCTTATGAGACAGAAAGCAAAAGCTAAAGGGGCAATACTAAAGCGTTACAATGAGGCAAACAAGCGTAAGTCACAGAACAGATTATTTGCTGAGAACCAAAAAAAGTTTTATAAGAACATTAATAATGACATCGAAGACGTCCCTGAGACAGCAGAAAAATTAGACAAACAGGCATTTGTAGACTACTGGAAATCGATATGGGACACACCAAAAACCGCGGATTTAAATGCACCTTGGTTGAATAAAATTGTACAACACTCCTCAGAAATTCAAGAAAGGGAAAACCCAGAAATAAACCTAGAGGATATAAAACTAGCGTTAAAGAAAGTCCATAATTGGAAAGCTCCAGGACCGGACAATATCCAAAATTTTTGGCTCAAGTCCTTTGAATCAATACACCAGCCATTAACTAAATGCTTTCAACAAGTGCTTCAAAACCCAGAACAAATACCTAAATTTCTTACCATCGCGAACACATACTTGCTTTTCAAAAAAGGAGATCCTGCTGATCCGCGTAATTACAGACCCATTACTTGCCTGTCAGTACTGTACAAATTACTATCGGCTGTTATAAACAACCACATTTATAAGCACTGCCAATTGAATAACATAATAGCTCCGCTACAGAAAGGATGCGCTAGAGGCTCCAGAGGTTGTAAGGATCTACTTATCTGCGACTCTGTAATATCTGAGCAAGCTCGAGCCAAGCAAAGAAATCTGCATGTGGGATATATCGATTACTCCAAGGCATATGATTCGGTACCACATAATTGGTTGATGAAAGTACTGGAGATATACAGAATCCATCCAATTATACAAAACATCCTAAAACACTCATGTCTAATTGGAATGTAAACCTAATGTTAAAAAACTGCCCTTTACAGACCATCCAAATAAACAATGGTATATTCCAGGGCGATTCGCTTAGCCCTACATGGTTCTGCTTGGTTCTAAACCCTCTCTCTACATTACTCGATAACACTCAAACAGGATACAGGTTAGATAAACGAAGTGGAGTTAGAATTAGTCACATGCTTTATATTGATGACATTAAATTATTTGCTGAATCAGGGAAACACCTTACATTATTACTTGATAGTACAAAATCATTCAGTGACAGTATTGGAATGGCATTCGGCTTGGATAAGTGTGCGGTTGTAAGTGCCAACCGAGGTAAAATAGAGCGGGTGGGTAACCCAATCATCGATATCGACGTGCTGCCTCAAGGAGAAATATACAAATATCTGGGTATAGAGCAACATCTGAGTATAAATCATACAGATATGAAGCTTAAGTTTAAGCAGCAATATATTAAAAGATTCACCAAACTGCTTAATACTAAATTGAATGGCAAAAATCTAATAACAGCCATAAATTCTTGGGCAATCCCTGCACTTACTTACTCCTTTGGAGTTATAAAATGGAGTCAAACGGACCTAGATGAATTGGATCGACGCACTCGCGTACTTCTAACTAAATTTAGATGTCTGCACCCAAATTCAGCCATTGAACGCCTGTATTTACCACGAAATAAGGGAGGGAGAGGTTTACTAAATATCAAACGCATGTGCAACAATGAAGTGGACAACTCAGACGCTATTTTTACAGACAGCCTGGTCAACTTACGATAGACATTATTAGGAATGATATTAATGCCACGCCACTGAAGCTTCATACAGACATGGAAGAAGACGTTGTGCCGGTAATACAGTCAAACGAACAGCGATGGAGAGAAAAGGCTATACATGGTCGATACGCCAATCAGATAGATAACGAAGCTATAGATAAAGACCTTTCACTATCTATTCTCCGAAATGGCGACCTACATCCAGAAACGGAAGGCTTTATCCTCGCCATCCAGGATAAAGTCATAAGAACGAGAAACTATGAGAGGCATATACTTAAAGTTAACAGCGTGGATAGATGTAGAATGTGCAATTCAGTGGGAGAATCAATAGAGCACATTACGGGCGGGTGTTTTATCTTAGCAAATGATGCCTACTTGGGTAGACACAACAGCATAGCAGCCATAATACACCAAACTATTGCTTCAGACTGTAAGCTTTTAGAAAATAAAACAGCGATGTATAAATATGAACCCATATCAGTATTGGAGAACCACCAGTATACGCTTTATTGGGACAGGCCTAATATAACCGACAGGCACATACAGAATCACCGTCCTGATATTGTTTTAATAGATAAAGAAAAAAAGTTGGACTCATCATAGACATAGCCGTCCCACTAACCCTAAATATTATAAAGACGGAGAGAGAGAAGGTCAATAAATACCAGGACCTTGTAATAGAAATGAAAAAATGTGGAAATTGTCTAAAATGGATATAATACCAATAGTGATATCAGTTGAGGGAGTTGTATCTAAATGATTTAAGGAATTTTTGCATAAGGCCTCTCTACCCTCAGGCCTTTTAGAATTAGAATTAGAATGAGTGGGAGGGGGTTAATCACTTCGACCTTACAGATCCATTGTGTCCCCCTTTCTTGAATCATAACTCATCATACAGTCCCAGGGCTTTGACAAAAGCCAGTATCTGGGACGGTTTTATAGAGGGTAGTTCTTCATCTCCAATATCAGTCGTACCAAAATTCATGGCACGAATGGTTGTCGTCTCGGCGCACTCAGTGATGAGGTGTACTGGTGTTTCACCATCTTCCCCACAGAATCTGCATTCGCCGTTTCTTCTTAGTTTCAATCTACTGAGGTGTTCATTGATGAGACAGTGTCCTGTTAAAACCCCGTGACAATCCGAAGATTATTCTTACTCAGACCCAGGAAGATCTGTGATTTTTCTTGATCATAAGCCCTCAGAAACTTCTTCGAGTGTCCTAGACCATTGCAAGATTTCCATTCTAGGTTGCGGATGGAATCTTCCAAGTTCTTGAGTTCCGCCTTGAGTTGGTTACCACTTGGAAAGCAGAACGGTTCTGGTCCAGTTAGTGGAGTGTTCGCTCCTTTCCTAGCTAGATTATTTGCTTTTTCATTGCCTTCTATCCCTTGGTGAGCAGGCACCCAGTGTAGAAGGACTTTGTTTTCTTTGCCTAATTTATTCAGCTTCTATGCATTCTTTGACCAATTTCGAATTGATTGATACTGAGTTGATCGCCTTTAATGCTGCTTGACTATCAGATAAGATGGCTATTTCTTGTTTCCGATAGTTCCTATCTAAGATAAGTTGTACGCATCTCTCGATAGCGTAGATTTCTGCCTGTAGGATACTAGGGTAAGTGCCCATTGGTTCGAAGTAATTAGCTCTCGGCCCAAACACTCCGATCCCTGTTCCCGTATTGGTTTTGGAAGCATCAGTATACCAAGTTATGGTATGGTCTTTTAACTGCTGGGCAAGCGTTTCGCTCTTCCAATCCTTCTTATTGCTCAATACTACATTGACATGTTTGTCAAAGTTGTACGTTCTTGGCATATCGTCCACTGGGAGTTGCAGAAGTGGTATTTCCTTTTTGAGGGTGTTCCAAGTCCCTGATCTGACAATTCTCCCAGTACTAATTCCGTTAGTGAGAATGGTCACTAACATGGTCAAATCAAATCATTGTCGCATTGGCATATCTACCAATGACAATGTGCAGTGGTGTTAGATCTAGAATGACCTCCATTGCTGCTGTTGGACAGGTTCTCATGGCTCCTGTGATGCAAACACATGCTAGTCTCTGGACTTTGCATAGGTTTAGCCTTGCCGTCCGTTGCTCTAGTTTTGTGTACCAGGCAACTGCTCCATAAGTAATCATGGGTCTTACTATCATGGTATACATCCAGCGCAAAATGTTAGGGGAGCAGCCCCATCTATTTCCGGCCAGTCTTCTGCATATCATGAGAGCCTTTATGGCTTTGCTGGTAGTGTTCTTAATATGCCTGTTCCACAGGAGTTTACTGTCCAGGGTTATTCCCAGGTATTTAACTTCCTGGGTTGGCAGTATTTCCTTTCCATCTAGTTGGATTCTTTTCAAGTTTTTCAGACTTCGCCTTCTGGTGAATGGCACTATCGCGGTTTTGTCTGAGTTGATACTCAGCCCGACAGTCCCTCAGGCCTTTACGTACCAATGCAGAGAAGCGCAATTTCACACACATGCAGTATAGTACGTAAATTTCTGGCTATGGGATAAGGTGAATTCCTTCTCCAGAAGCCAGCCCAACCAGCATTTGCTGAGAAAAAAAAATACATAAAATAATAATAATAGGCATTTGAAAGTGACTCAGAAATTGCCAAAGCTATTAAAACAGCAGATATTAACTATACCCCTCTCAACCTAAGTGACAGAACATATAAACCCCTACCAAACATGACTACCGAGCAAGCAAAGGTTCAAAACTGGAAATCAAAGGAATTACATGGGCGATATCTCTACGAACTAGGAAAAACCCACGTTGATAAACGCGCATCACTCAGATGGCTAATAAATGGCAACCTTTTCCCAGAAACCGAAGGATTTATGGTATCTATATAGGATCAAGTAATAGCTACACGAAGCTACAGGAAACATATCCTCAATGAGGACCTACCCTCCGATTTATGCAGAAAATGCAACTGTCAGCAAGAAACAATAGAACACATCCTGTCCAATTGTCAAAATATGGCGGGCACAAAATACTTAGAGCGTCATAATAAAGTAGCTACCATCGTTTACTTGGAAATACTTCACATGTATGACTGTGATCCCGAAAACATTGAACCGTATTATAAATACACACCACCACACGTTCTGGAAACTCAGGACATCCAAATATACTGGGATAAAGGTATTATAACTGACCGCAAAATTGATAACACCGGCCCAGATATTGTGCCTGTACGCAAGAAGGAAAGAAGCGCTCTACTAATAGATATTGCAATCCCCAACAACAACAACTTAGAAAGTAAAATAACTGAGAAAATCACAAAATACACCAGTCTCAAATCTGAAATAAAGAGCATGTGGGCTTTGGAATCAGTCACAATAGTTCCTCTGATAATTTCATCTATGGGACTGATACCTAAAAACCTAAAAGAACAACTACGCCAAATAGTAATACCGTGGAATACTTACCATAAAATGCAAAAATCAGTAATTCTCGACGCCACCAATATGGTTAGATCTTTTCTAGATCGGTAGCAACACACGAGAGCTGCTCAGTGAGTCGTCACGTTGTGTGTAAAACCAGGAAACATCTGTGAAAAAAAAATAATAATAGGCAAAATACAAAGAACCGAGTTGGAAAATCCGAATTAAAAAAACCATAGAAACTTATCGAACGGAGATAGCAATTCTGGAAGAATATAAAAAAGGAGTATCCACAAAAAAAGTAATGACTAAGACTATTGTAATATTCAGGAAATATGGATATCAGACCACTGAGGAGCTAGAGACTAAACTAAAAATGAAATTGCAAGCAAAAGGACAACGCCTCCGTAGATACACAAAAAGGAGTGATCAATATCGTCAAAATAAAATGTTCAATGAAGATATGAAAAAGTTCTATCGAAGTAACCTAAATAAAGTAAACAATAACGAAATAAAAGAGACACCTGACCCAGATGAATTAGAATGCTTCTGGCGGGGAATATTTGAAGAGGAGAAGACACATAACAAAGATGCAAGCTGGATACAACAAGAAAAGATAGATCAAGAACACATAAATGAGGATGAATGGAAAGATCTGGAAAATGACGAAATCATTGCTACCATCAAAAGAACCCACAATTGGAAATCACCGGGCCCAGACAAAGTTCACAATTTCTGGATCAAACAATTAACACCACTGCATACTCACATAACAGGAGCATTTAACTTAATAATAAAAAATCCTGAAAACACCCCTGAATGGCTAACAACTGGAAAAACAATACTACTTTCAAAAGGGAACAACACAAAAGACCCAAGAAACTACAGGCCTATCACCTGCCTTCCTACCTTGTACAAAATTATGACTCAAGCACTAAGCAATAGAATCTATAATCACTTAAACAAAAATAATATACTCCCACCTGAGCAAAAAGGATGCAAAAAAGGATCAAGAGGATGCAAAGACCAACTCCTTCTTAGTAAGATCATAATGGACCAGCAAAGAAACAGAAGAAGAATCTATGCATGTCGTGGATTGACTACAAAAAAGCTTTTGACAGCCTACCACACACCTGGATAATCGAAATTCTGCAAACATATAAAATAAGTTTAGAAATCATAGCATTTATAAAGTCATCTATGGGGAAATGGAAAACAAATATAAAACTTTATTACTCTGAAGGAGAACTCGATGTTAATAACATTGCAATCAAGAGGGGAATTTTTCAGGGAGACTCCCTATCACCTTTGTTATTCTGCGTAGCTCTCATACCCCTTACTAACTTACTGAAAAAGAAAAACCTTGGGTATCAAATAGATTGCAATGTTAAGATAAACCACCTATTATATCTAGATGACTTGAAACTATTTACAAAAACAGAAAAGGAAATGGAAGAAAAGAAGAGATAAAGAAAATGAAAGAAGAGATAAAGAAAATTGACAGAAAGACTAGAAAACTACTTACCTCAGGGAAAATTCACCACCCAAAAGACAATGTTGATAGGATCTATATGAGAAGACTAGATGGAGGAAGAGGTTTGCTAGAGCTTGAGGAAGCATTTGAAACTGCAATCATGGGACTGAGTGAGTACATAAAAGAGGAAAAAAATGAATTAGTAAAGATTATCAAGAAGCAAGACGAAGCAAGAGCAAAATACTCAATTACGAAGGAAGCAGCACGAATCTGAATGAAATATGACACAAATGAAGAAACATCCAGGAACATGAAATTGAAAATAAGAGAAGAAATAGAAAAGCGAAGAATAGAAAGATTAAAAGAAAAACCACTATACGGACAATTTATGAGACATTTAGATAAGAACTTTGTCAATAAAAAGAGTAGCATACAATGGTTAAATGGTGCAGGATTGAAAGGAGAGACAGAAAGCCTAATAATGGCTGCACAAAATCAAGCCCTAAGTACAAGATATAGACAAAAAAAGATCTTCAAACAAAATGTGGATAGTAGATGTAGATTATGTCATGGGTCAGAGGAACACGTTAGTCATATCATCGCTGGCTGTACAAACTTGGCCGCCACTCAGTACACTCATAGGCATAATAAAGTAGCTGGCTATATACATTGGAACATCTGCAAAGCATTCGGAATTGAAGTTTGTGCGAAATACTACGAGCATATTCCTGAAACAATTACAAACATCAAAGACAAAGACAATGAAGTAACAGTAATGTGGGATTTGCCCATCATAACAGATCGACAAATAAATGCGAATAGACCAGACATCGTGGTACATGACAAAAAGAATAAAACTTGCCAACTTATAGATATATCAGTACCAGACGATTCCAACGTACAATTAAAAGAAAACGAGAAGATAATGAAATATAAGAACCTAGAAATAGAAATCAGCAGAATGTGGAATGCAAAGTCTTGTACTATACCGGTTATTGTGGGCGCCTTGGGAACCATATTCAAAGGAGCAGAACTACATCTGAACCGCATCCCAGGAAAATCATCTATCCGAGAAGCCCAAAATATTATGATTAACAAGCGTATATAAGTATTCATAAAGATATTCCATTGTTGATCAACATCTTTTTCACAACATGTATACACGTCATTCCAATCCTGCTCTGTCAAAGAACACAAAAAATTACTTTTATTATTTTCAGAAAAAAATCTTTTATACTGAAATGTTTTAACGTTAATTAATTGAATCTCAAAAACAATTTTTTGTGCTGTGTAGTCCGAAATTTTTTTTTCAATTATATCTGTCTGTATAAAATTGGAATTTGTAAAAATGTTATCAATCTTGCAGATACTGCTGTTATTTTCGTATTTTTTGTTATAGTTTGCCGCAGATTAAAAGAATTAACGATTGTTACAAATTCAGTGCCAATTTTATTTCCTTTAATTAATTCTATATTAAAGTCACCTGTTAAGAAAATACATTTATTTTCGTTGTGTATTTTTGATAAAAGTTGTTCCAGTCTGTCTAAAAAGACTTTGATATCGCCAGATGGTGGAGTATACACTGACACAACAATAACATTTACTTTACCGATCTGACATTCAACTACTGAACATTCAAACGCACCACACACTGAAAGCTTGCACAGTTTTAATCTAGGTTTAGCTGTCACTTCTTGTCTCACGTATATCGCTGAACCTCCATGCTGAACCTCCATGCTGTCCCTCTTCGCGGCAGAACATTGACACTAACTTAAAATGTCTAATTCCTAATTGTTTCAGATGGTCTTCAGATTTCCAATGTTCTGATATACACAAAATATGACAGTCTTTCTGATATAGTAGCATAGTATTAATTTTGTCAACTGAATTTCCATGTGACTGTACATTTTGGTGTATTAAACTTATCCGTTGTACAATATTATTTTTATTACTAGAAATGTTCGAGTTTGATTGAATGGTCTCGCCTGGTATATTCTGATGTATGACACCAGTAATTCGTTGGTATTTCCTTTGATTTTTTATGGAAAATTTAAATGATCATCTGCGTAGTTGATGTGGCTCTGGTACCAACCCATTTTTCTTTTGTATACGGGGCATTGTATGTCTCGTGCTGAATGCTGACTTTGGTCTGAAGTAAATTTCATCTTTATGCAGTTTGGTCAACAAAGTATTTCTGTACTGCAGTTTTGATTTGCATGCTCTCCTCCGCATTTATGGCAACATAATTTATCTTTGCAGTGTTTCGAAACATGTCCGAAGCCAGAGCACCGGTAACACATTGCCAAGTTAAAATGTTCCAGGACGTATACCTTCATTAAATCAAAATTCACAACTTGTTTATTCAGAAACCATTTTGCAATGATAGGGGGTGCCTGCAAAATCCAGTTCTCTTTATTGGGGTTCCTGCATTGTCGTTTTGTTATAACTTTAATTTTTTCTGTTAACTTTTTGCCTAATTCATCTTCAATTTCTTGATTTAATCTTATTAGATCTTCTAAAAATTCCTCATTGCTGATGCTTTTGTAAATACCCGTGATCATAAACATCGGATTTGTATCCTGAGTGTCTTTGATTTTAATCTTGTCATTGTTTTTTTAAAACTGACCGAAACTTTGCTTGTTGTACCTCATCGTGACTTTCACATATAATAGTTCCATTTTTTAGGTGTTTTATATTCTTTAAACTCCCACCCAGATCTTTAGCAGCTATTTCCTGCGTTAATTGTCAAACTACCGTCCTCGAATCTGTTACCCCATTTATTGCTACAGCTGTTTTATATCTCTTGCTGGTTGTTTTTGGTGTTGTCCAGGGTTCCGAATTCTCCACATTTGGTTTATTACTTGTTCTCACTGCACCTATTTCTGCATAAGTCTTTACATTATCCCCGTGTAATTTTACCGTATCACTAGTTTGTTTCTTATCTGATATACCATTACATTGCGTACCGCTAATTTCTTGTGTCAACTTTAACTTTATATTTTCATTTTCCGCAGCATATGATATTTGCCGATGTTCACGTGGGTCATGTTTTTGTTTTAGCTGCGTGTTTTCTTTCTCCAAACAACTGATGTGATGTATCATCATTGTTAAATTTTTTAATAAAATAAATGTGGCCTCCCTGATTGTTTTTTGTTCTTTTGAAGTCAGCGTAATTTGCTCATTTGCTTCTCCATTTGTCACTGATTCAATATTATCAATTGCTTTCATGTTAGTATTTAGTCTTTCTGTTTCGCCTTGATGTTGAAAATTTAGGTTCTGGTTGCTTGGTATGTTATCTGTATTACTTGGAGGTGTTTTTTGGGCTGGGGAGGTGTTCTCGCAGTGCCTTTTACTTATACCACATACTTCTGGACTTGTTATTGTTCGTGGTCGCTTATTATTTTCTTTTTTATATAACTCAGCTCTGTTATTCATCTCTGACCTGTTGTTTCATTTTTACGCATTGGGGATCTAAACACATATTTTCTAGGTTTAAAAATTGTTTCATAAGTTTCTTCATTTCTTTTTGGGACACCTGGAACACTATAATCTCGGTTGCTAGCCGTAGCGTCGATTTCATGCATATTAGATTGTTGTTTATCGGCAGTTATATTTTTTGTCTGGATTCCAAGGATATTATCTATTTCGGATTTGCTGTATTTTAACTCAAGTGAATTATGCCTTTTTTTACCACTCCCGATTTTAATTTAAGCGTCGGTAGTCCATCATCACTATTATTCATCATGAATACACACACGAAAAGTTAATTATTTATTAATAACGAAATTTAACTATTTCTTAGAGCGATTTTAGAACACGACCGTACACGTCCGTAGACGTTTTTAAACTTGAACGAAAGCCCTAAACAAACATCATTGGCATAAAATGCAAACGATAAGAAAATTATTATAAAGTAATACATTCAGTTCAGTCGAACAAAATATTATTCACCTGATATTCTTCAGCTAAATTTTTTTACTGCATCTTTTTCAAACCGAGTGGAAAAGAGTGTTGATTCTTCTCCACTCCCCCAATTGACTTTAACTTAACCGCTATTTCCTCCCTTGCATGTTTTTACATCGGGTGCACCTTTTCCCCATCTAATGCAATCGTTTACTGGCACTAGGTTCACCAGCATTTTAAATTTTTCGCTATTTGATTTTTTTTGGTGGCATCTAAATAAAGATAAAACATGCATTTTTTTCGTTCGCGGCAGTTAAGGTTCAACATTTTTGCATTTATAAACTTTCGCCCGCATTTGGCTTTTAATTCAATTAGCTCTGTTATCTAGACAGAGCCGACAGATGGGTTTCGCTTCATTTTAAAACCGACGCCTTGCCGACGCTAATCTCCATATAGTTTTCTGTTCTTTCCTGTGTTTATTGTTCGTTCCTCGTGCTCATTTATTTTTATTTTCTGGTTGTGTGATCTATCTTTTTCTGTATATATTTTTTGTTCTTTCCTCTTTATGTGTTTTATCCTTTCCTTGTATATATTTTTTTGTTCTCTCCTGTTTATGTGTTCTAACCTTTCTCGGTATATATTTTTTTGTTCTTTCCGGTTTATGTGTTCTATCTTTTCTCTGTATATATATTTTTTTGTTCTTTGCTATGTGTTTATTGTTCGTGCCTCGTGCTCATTTATTTTTATTTTCTGTTTGTTTCTGTGCTTCATCCTTTCTCTGTATATATTTGTTTTCTGTTTTATTCCCTGTTTCTTTGATCTATCCTTTTAATCCTTTCTCTGTGTTCAAATCTTTTATTTATACGCAATATGGATGAAGAGGCATTACTCTGACTGGCATTTGTGTTGTGTATTCATATTGTGTTGTAATTTCACAGTCCAATCTCGAAGACAGCGCATTCGACAATATAAAATTCGACCTATAAATACGGGTCGTAGGGGTTTCAATTATTATGATGATATGAAATTGTGGGATCCACAACAATTTTTCAAATATACCAGAATGCATGTAGCTGTCTTTGAAAAACTTTTGGCCAAAGTGGAGCCAGTAATAAGGCGACAGAATCGTTCCGATGGAATGTCTGCAGAGCGTCGTCTTATAGTAACATTGCAGTAAGCCAAATCTACTAAAGACATAATTATAATTACTAATAAAAATAAGAGAGAAATTTAACCACGAGGACAATGACAGGAACATAGAAACAAAATGAAAACGCCGACGCTATGGCCATAAATGAACTAAACTTTCCTATCGCCACAGAACGACAGAACATACTTTGAGCGTCACATGAGCGTAATTTATGGGGTGTGTTTTTTTTACAGGTGTTCGAATTAGCCCACTGATTGGCTGTGCCGAATGGTCGCGAACTGCTGACTTAAACATTGACCATTTCTGAACTCCCCTGAACGTAAAACGAACTGCCAACTTTTAGACCAATTGACTTTATAAATGCGCGCGTTCGTTTCATGGCGTTGAACATTTTGAACGGCAACTGAACCTCAACTTCCGAGTTTATAAATCCAGCTTTTGTCTTGTTTGTTGGATCGTCCGAGACGCCGCGCCGCGCCGCGCGCCGGTGGAACTTTGGAAGCAGTGATATTGCATCTTTGTTGTTCTCGATATAGTCCGGTGAGTCCTTTCTTTATTTCATTCTTCTATATCTATCATTCTTCTATATAGACTGGTGGTAGCAAGGCGGCTGCGGCCTGAGAAAGCCCACCATGATGAGGCGAAACGTCGCATAATAAAAAAAAAGTTTCCATTTCAATTTCCAAACCAAAACCTCATACCCAGGAAAGGAGAAAAAAAAATAAATTTCTTTATTTCCTTTGTATTTCGTTTAGTAAAGCTTATCTCTTATCGTATTAGTCATATTGCGTTTTATTTTTCTAAGAAATTTGGTGGTATTTTATAATGGCAGACCTAAATATTTTAATAAGGAAAAGAGTCGCGGTAAAATCAAAATTAACTAATTTTACTAATTATTTGGATCGTATTCAGCAAAACGCAACAAATGTAAAGCCGTCGGAAGATGTTTTCAGCGAATTACAACTATAGTACAATTCTTTTAAAAGTTCCTCAATATGGCCGACCTAGTTACGAAAATTGGTAATTTTTTTAATGAAAAATAAGTTGGCGTTAACGACTTCAGAAATTGATTTACTCTTTGGTTAACAATAACATTTTTCAGGATTGTCAAGTTGACGTTAAAGTTAGGTTATTAGGTGGTTGTCATAAATCATAAATAAAAACATAGATTATTGAAATTATTTAATAAGAAGCGGTAAAATACCTTTAATTTTACCGCAGATCCGAAGAGATTTTACTTAAAGGTATTTTATAAACTTTCTTAGTTACAATATTAACTCCCCTGTTTCTTATCTTTCAGTTAAAGGGACGTAAGAACTATAGGAAGTGAATTTTTGTTTTCATGTTTTGACGATATCTGAGAGTTCCTGGAATTATCAAGATTATTGAATAATTATAGTTGTTTAATAAGTGAAATTAATAGAAGACTTGGAAATAGGATGATGCGTTTCATGTTATAATTGATAGATCATCCCATTTCTCTTAATTTGTTTTTATTTAAGTACAGTTAATCACAAATTGAATTGGTGTGTGCAAAAACAGCTATATATTTTATAACATCTTATTTAAATAGTTCCTTTATATACTGTTAAACTGTATCAACTACAAAGTTTTTAGCAAAAAGTTATAAGGTAATAAATTTTGTAGATATAATTTATGAAAATTTATATATAAAGATTAGAACACAATCCTCTGAGGGAAAAAATACTGAAAAACTCATTAAATATACTTTATTAAAAATAACAACATACAAAAACAGTCATCCATGCAAACTGTAATAATCAGAACATTATCCACATTATACCTTTATTAAATTTGTGTTCACACTCCTGTAAGGAAAGCCAGAAATGTTTGTTTAAATATTAAGTTATTTTAAATTGCCAGAAACACATCAGAGTATGTCACTACAACAACTCTAAGTTTGGAATCAGTACTAAATTTTATAACTAGTGATGCGTCAAGTAACAAGTATAGGATAAAAAAGAATTATTAATATAGAGTGTACTATATATACGATGTCCTTCTGCTTATTTATGAAATGACTTTCCTTTCACATGTGAGGAATACCAGTAAAATAAAACATAATTTTTGGTTTTGTTTGGTGTTTGATATTCTAACTACATCTATTACAAATCTTAAGTGCTTTTAGTGAGTAACTGTATTTTTTATTATTGTGTGTGTATCCTGTAAAGTAAAAAAAATATATATTTCAAGAAATATAAAAAGAATGCAATAGCAGATTCATAAAAACTACTTACAATTGTACATATTATATATTTCAAGTGTTATTTGATCTTTGGTCCCATTACCAACATTACCTTATTTAGGTCTTCTCTACTAGCTCAACTTTTAAACCTGTTTTAAACCTCCTTTATATTTTAAAACTAATTTACAACAATCTGTAATGCCCGCGCTGTTTCCTGAAATTAATATAAGTTTTAATCTATTTATTATCATATACATCTTACAAACCTGAAAATTCTGATACGAGGAAACTTCTCAAAATAGTTAGAGACCTTTTTACAAACATCTGGACTAATTTATTTTCACGAATTTGTGGACGAGTCAATGTTTTCTAATACGTTTTTAAGCGTTTTACACATTTTTTGAATATCTTCCAGCCTATTCCTCAGTTCTTGATCGGTGAAAAGATTATTTATAAGTATATAACTAGTACTGCAGGCTGCAGGTTAAATAAAAGAACAAAATCAAGTAGAATTTGTGAATAAAAACTCAAAAAATAATGAAAATATTTAGAAACAGGAACCGTAAACGTCAGTCAGCCAAGTGTCAGAGTTCAATTAGATTTACCACAGATTATCAATTTGAACGATTTGAACTACAGTCGATTCCAGTCTAGAGATTTTCGTTTTTTAAGCCTCCCATACTGAAGTCCGCCATATTGGGAAGTTTTAGGTGAAAACAAGTATACGTTGCGAAAAGGCATCAAAATTACTAGATGAATTCGAACAATTTCAGTTAGAAATAGAAGTAAATTCTAAGGATGAGCAAATTCAGCAAAACGAACGCAGCGGGTTTGAAGACGCATATTTTGGTATTATTGCGGCTGCTAATCAATTTATAACAAAGAATCGAGTTTCGGTACAAAATGATTCTGTGGGAAGTGCTTTAGGTGGTTCGATTGCATCAGCTGGTGCGTCCACTTCAGGGCCTAAAACATACCTACACAGGCTATAAAACTACCTACAATAATTCAAGTTCCGAAATTTGAAGGTTTTTATGAGTCATGGTTAGAGTTTAGGGATACGTTTGAATCGCTGATTCATTTAAATTCGTCCATAAATAAAATACAAAAGTTTCATCAGTATCTTAGAGCTTCGTTAGGTGGTGATCCTGGACAGATAATTAAATCGCTAGAATTTTCAGCTGGCAATTATGAAATTGCCTGGAACATCTATGCGAAAGGTATAATAACACAAGATTGCTAACCAACAACCATATTAAAGCCTTGTTTAATGTAGACTCCATTGCCACACGATCGTCGGATAAATTGGGAAATATGATCGACAGTGTTAACAAACATTTGAGAGCCTTGCAAACTATGGGTGAGCCGGTCGCGTCTTGGGACACCCTGTTAATTTATTTAGTAATAACAAAATTAGATTCTGATATATTGTGTGAATGGTAACCAAAAAGGGATAAAAAATCGTCAAAACTAGGGTACCTTATTTCATTTTTAAAAAGTAGAGCTGATATTTTAGAAACAATCTAAATCGAAACCAATGTAAATAAATCGCAAAAAAAAACACAAATAAGTTTAACACAGTCCTTTTTCACCAATAATATTAAATGTTAATTTTGCGTGGGAGATCATTATATACAACATTGCTCCGAATTTAAGAAATTAAATGTAAATGCACATATTGAGAAAATAAAAAATTTAGATTATGCATAAATTGTCTATTGTCTGAAAGGGTCATTATAGCAAAGACTGCAAATTCGGACATTGTAGGTTTTGCTCTAGTAAACATAATAGTCTTTTTCACATTGATAACAGAAATACTACATCTAATAACAATGAAAAATCAGTTTCTGTGGCGTTTTCTTCAAAACCGAGTATTCCAGAAAGCCAAATTTTATTATCAACTGCGCTAATAAAAGTTTTGGATATACATGGTAAATATCATACGACAAGAGTGCTTCTGGATGCTGGGTCACAATCGAATTTTATAGCCCAAGTTTTTGTGATATTTTACAAATAGGAAAAGATCATATCGATATTAAAGTTGGTGGATTTAACCAGTGAATTTCCAATATAAATTCCAGATGTGATTGGTGATATGTCATCCAATCAAAATAAATATAGGATTGTAATTTCTTGTTTAGTAATTTCAAATATCACAGGATGTCTACCAAATTTTAAGGTCGATGTTAGTAAATTGTCCATTCCCCCAAACATTCGTTTAGCAGATCCAGAGTATGACAAACCCGACAGAATTGATATGCTTTTAGGTGCGGATCTTTTCTGGGATTTAACTTGTATTGGTCAAATTAAGCTGAATAAAAATGGGCCTATTTTGCAAAAAAACTCGCTTTGGATGGGTGTTAGCTGGACCTGTAAATTCAGAACTGGGCACATCTATTTAGTGAAATTTCTCTAAAAATATTTCAGAAAACGATATGCCAAGGTTTTGGGAAATTGAGAACTTTCCAAATAATAAAATTCTTTCCAGTGAGGAGAAGTATTGAGAGGAACATTTTGTTACAAATACTTTTCGTAATGATGCTGGTCGGTTCAATGTAACAATTCCATTTAAAAGTGATATTTCGAAATTGGGCGACTCAAAAAATTTAGCGTTGAAAAGATTTTCATACTTAGAGAGAAAGTTGCAAAACAATAAAAGGCTTCGTGAATTATACTGTAAATTTTTGCAGCAATACATCGACTTGGGTCATATGAAGGAAATCAGTCTGACGAGTTGGTTTCCTATTACTTGCCTCATCACGGAGTTCTGAAAGAAAATAGTTCCACAACAAATTGAGGGTTGTGTTTGATGGGTCAGCAGTTACTAGTTCGGGCTATTCGATAAATAATTTGCAAATGGTAGGACCAACCATTCAAGAAGATTTGTTTTCGATATTATTGAGATTTCGTAGTACAATTGTGCTTTTTGTGCTGATGGTGAATTATCGTCAGTGTCGATTTCAACGTATTTAATGGCGTTTCAACCCATCTGAGCCACTAAAGACGTATGAATTGAAAACCGTAACCTACGGTACAGCATCTGCGTCCTTTTTAACCATAAGAAACTTATACCAATTAGGCATCGATTGCGAAGAATATTACTATTACTATATAGAGTACTATAATAGACTATTACTATATCTAATAGCATAAAGCGAGATTTTTATGTTAATGATTTAATGAGTGGTGCTAACTCAGTTGATGAATGTATTAATTTGTCTAAAAGTCTTGCAAATGTATTAGAGAAAGGTTGTTTTAAACTCAGGAAGTGGTTTTCAAATAGTCCGGAAGTTATGGTTGCTTTAGATGAAGAACTTCAATCTTCTGATATCGTTAACATGGGAAAACAGGAAAACGCTAAATCTTTAGGTTTATGTTGGTCAAAAGTAGATGATTATTTCCTTTATTCGATTTCAAATTATATTTCGAAGGGGGTAACAAAACGTAAAATTATATCAGATATTTCTTAAATATTTGATCCTCTTGACCTTCTTACTCCTTGTATCATTACTGCAAAAATATTTATTCAGAAATTGTGGTTGGAGAAATTATTTTGGGATGAAGCATTGCCATTAGTTTTCCAAACTGAATGGGTGCATCTTCGAAATGAATTGGTGGTTTTAAACAAACTAAAAATTATTTTTTTTCGGTAGTAATCCTATTAATATTCAGTTGCATGGATTTTGTGATTCCTCTTCAGTTGCTTATGGTGCTGTCGTAAACGACAGTTTAACTCTCTAACATAAAGTTAGATCTAAAGATGCAGACGGCAACATTTATGTGAATTTACTTACCTCAAAATCCAATATTGCTCCATTAAAAACAATAACAATACCTCGACTGGAACTGTGCGGAGCACTTATACTTTATCAATTACTACAAAAGGTCAAAAATTCTGTTAGGTTTCCTGTGGATGACATATTTTATTGGATTGTTCCACGATTGTTTTGGGCTGGCTAAGAACGTCTCCTCATCTGTTGCAAGTATTTGTGGGAAACAGAGTTGCACAAATACAAACCTTATCGAATATAGACAAATGGCATCATGTCCTTACGAAATGTTATCCTGCAGATCTGTTGTCTCGGGGAGTCTACCCTAAACATTTGTTACTCATGGATAGCTGGTGTCATGATCCTGGCTGGTTACAGAACGACGAGTGTTTATGGCCTATCTAAAAAAATATTTATGGCCTATCTAAAAATTTACGAAAATAATTTACCTGAAATGCGAAAACAAATTCAGTCTCAACTTGCTACTAAAAATTCTATCGATTATGTTCCTTTTGATAAATATTCTTATTTTAACAGATTAAAACGCATAATTGCTTATTGTTTAAGATTCAAACATAATTGCTTGAATTATGACTCAAAAAATGTTGGTTTTGTTAGTACTGAAGAACTAAATAACGCAGAAGTATATTTATTAAAAATCGCTCAGAGTGAATGTTTTAGTTCTGATCTTTTTTATTTGGAAAACGCGAAAACATAAATAAATCATTGCTTAGTCTAACACCATTTACAAAAGGTCTTATTATGGTAGGGGGAAGGCTGTCAAACTCGAATTTTAGCTTATATATAGTGTTGTTGTCCTCTAAGCATGAACTTACGAGATTTTTGGTTAATTCTGAACACAAAAGGCTTTTAGATGGCAGAAATTTGTGTCGTCATGTTGTTCGTTCTTGTGCAGGATGTTTCAGAGCTAATCCTAACGTGACTACCCAGATAATGGAAAACTTACCTATTCAGCGCCTCACCCCTGCATATACTTTCTCAAAAACGGGTGTAGACTACGCAGGAGACTTGTTCTTATTAAAGATAGACAAGGACGTGGTTGTAAAGTCACAAAAGCATATATTGCGGTATTTATATGTTTATGTACAAAAGCTATGCATTTGGAGCTAGTATCGAATTTAACTACTGAATGTTTTATAGCTTGCTTAAATAGATTTTTTGCTAGGCGACGAAAACCAGCTGAGATTTTTTCGGATAATGGTAAAAACTTTTGCGGTGCAAATCATGAGTCACGAGAACTTCATGAATTTTTTAAGGTTAAGGGTGATGATATTGCTGCTAAATCAGCTAATGTAGGAATTCAGTGGCACTTTATTCCGCCAAATTTTCCTCACTTCGAAGGACTTTGGGAGGCCGGCGTAAAGTCTACCAAATTTCATCTTAAACGGGTAACATCAAATTCTCTAATGACTTTTGAAAAACTTTATACTTTATTGACTCAGATAGAAGCTATACTACATTCCCATCCTCTTATACCTTTGTAAAATGATCCAAACGATCTTACCAATCAAACAATCACTCCTTCCTCATCAGAAGAGCAGTTGACCTCAGTAGAAAACAGACTAAACATCTTCCAACGCATCCAACAAGTACGTCAACACTTTTCAAAAAAGTGATACAAGGTATATATATCCGAATTCCAGCAAGTGGAAGTCAACAAGCCAGTCTCTCAAGTGTGGGGACATTGTTCTCGTAAAAGATGGCAACTCCCTTGAAGTGGAAGCTTGGAAGAATTACTCAACTGTATAATGGGTCAGATGGTGTTGCACGATAAGAACTGCATTTGCTGTTCACAAACTAACCTAACACTTCATCCCAGGATGAACAGTGGAGTGAAGGTGTTGTGCAATTATTTCTTTTGCGTATATGTACGTGTTCTGTTTATTTTGAAAGATTGTCCTTTCAAGGAGGGGGCATGTTAAAGCCTATCGTTTCTATATTATTTTATATTATTTTTTTGTTTAATATAGTTCACTTAAATTTTGTAAATCTAGTCAACGCAATTATTTGATTGTACGGTGCAAACCTTCAAATTTCTAACTTCTGTAAAAATTGTTGTTCGGGTAGCACGGTAGCACGGCCCGTCACAATTCCGTCATTGCCTTCGGTACTAACTAGAAATAACGCGCTCTGATTGGCTGCCCCCACGTTCTCCGACACGGTGCCGAGGTAGTGGCAGGAAATAACTGCGGAGTGCTGAGATAGCAGACGGAATTAAATACATGTTTATTTGCATAATTTGCTGTTGTATCGTTTCTAATGTAGACACCATTATTAAAAGGATTTGTATAAAAATGATAACTACACATAAACTGTATTTTAACACTTTACTTTATTAATTTAAATGAAACAGAAAAGTACCAAAACATAAAAAATATCAATTAAGTGGTAAAACAAAAAATGTAGTAGATAATTTTTATTTAATATTTAACAGTTGCATAGGTGGTAAAACAAATTAATGTCGTTTGGCGTTTGGGACATTATTGTTGTCAACATTTACCTGTAAATTTCGAGGTCTTTTACTTTTTTTTCGTTTTACGGAATCTTTCGCAGGCCTGCCACCTGCAAAACGTTTTGTTCCTTGAATTAAAGTATTTCTTCGGCTTATTGTTGTAGGTTGTACATTAATTGCAGTTCTAGATGTATGTTTTCTGGGTAAATAACTACCAGCAGTAGCTAGGTAGGATTCCCAAGCTGTACGAGTCGAAATTTTCTTCTAACGTTGCATGCAGATATGAAGTACCTTTGACGAAGTGCCATATGTATTATGGTGACTCTCTAATAAAGTCATAAATTCTGTAAATTCCGTCTTGGAAGAATCGTTATTGTCTTCTTCTTAGACTCATGCTAATTTATAGCTTCTTTGACCCCTTGTCCATCATTAAAATAGGCTTCAAATATTTCTTTTACATTTTTTGAGGGTCGTAAATAAGAAAAAGATTCAGAAGTCTCTAAGTGATTATGTTCATGTTTAAAATATATTTAAACTCTCATTCCATCCTTAAAAAAATACTATAATTAGTCAATAATAAAATAGTACCAACAAACATTACTTTTAACATCACACCACAAAAGTAAAAACTTTAACAACTTTACTTTTTGCAATTACAAATTTCAAAAATACTCCATTTATAAATATTAAAGTGAAAGTGCCCCATTTCTTGGATTCTATCTTCAAATTTATATAAGCATAGCAATTATTATTTATTATTTTTAAACACCCCTAAAGTCCCAATGTTAAAATTTTACACAAATTATTGGTTAAATTTAATAATATTAATAAAATTTCATAAAGTAGACTCTTTTTGTATATCTACATTACACCTATAATACGTACCTTAACAAGAGCATCTTTTTTCATATATCTTTGGTGGTACATTTTATTTTAATGTGCATTTCTGCAGGACACGAACAATTTTTGGACCTTCCTCGTTTATTACTTTTGGGATCTACTCTCTTATAATTTGTATGATAACATAGATAAGCCATTCTAAAATGTAGTGCAGACTTAATATATTACCTACTATACAGTGTGCAAGAAAAATCTGGACTACCCTTAACATTTACTTTTATTTAGATTTTATAAAAAACGTTTATATGGTAAATATACCTACTGATTAGTTTATCGCGCACATTTTAGCGATAATCATTTGTTTTTTTTTTTCATTCTGGCTGTCAAAGATATGACGTCATCGATATATTTTTATAAATGGCAACTTTAGTCGTAAATAATGTACAAGTTGTATATTTTGTATATTTAATAATTTAGGTAAATTTCAATAAAAACAATCTGCGAAAGAGCGGCCAGTTGACCAAGACTGCCATTTAAAAAAAATATCGATGACATCATAACTTTGACCACTGTCATTAATAAAACAAATGAATACCGCCAAAATGTGCGCGATGAAAAAAATCAGTAAAAATAGCAGCGTTTTTTATAAAATGTAAAAAAAAGAAGATAATATTATGTATGTTCCAGACTTTTTTTTCCATTCTGTACAATTTATTTTTATTTTTCCAAACAGCTAAAGTGTTTTCAATATCATGTCGCTTGAAAAAAACAATCGCATTATTATTGGATAATGACCAACGCCTAACGCAAAGGCGCATGTCTAAAAAATAAATTATCAAAGAAAAATGTTTAAATCGGGTGTAAAAGAAACATGAAAAGACTAACTGACAAATAATATTTGTGTCAAAAGATCTATAATATATGAGGGCCGAAAGATCTTTAATCATCTGCCGGTTGCTTTAAGACTGGTTAATTCCATAAAAACCTTCCGGAGACTACTGAAAAGGGAACTTATAAATAGGGCATTTTACAGCGTTGACCAATTCTACCGGGGCTCCCTTGATATTAGTGTTTAGAGTCTAGAATTGCTTGTTAGTCTGACTTATTCTTTTTAGCGTTTTTGTTAATTTTCTCTTTATTCTGTATATTGTATATGTTATTTTACTTAATTGTTTACACCTATTTTTCTGAATACTGTTTGTTGTTTAAATGGATGTATTTCTATCTTATATTTACACAATTTTTTTTATTTTAGGTTTAGATTTAGGAATATTTATGCTTTGTTAACAAAAATTTGTATATTTTTTAAACAATAAAGTACTTTTGAAATTGAAATTGAAATAATGATGCTAATAAAAGGAGACCGTATTTAATGCACCATAGATAAATTAATAATTATCAACACAAATTATCAATAACAATAATTATTATACCTTACCTAATCACAAATATATTTGACCTGATGCACTTTTTAACATTCCATTGTTAGTCAATAAACTCTATTCTTCTACCCATTGGCGCAAGTCTTCTTCATTTTTAATACCGCTTCGAATACACTTTTGATTAATCCGCAAATTACTTGATTGAGATTACTTAATTGGTAACTTTTCTATTATTGCAGCAAAAGAAAATAATAATAATAATAATAATAATAATAATGGCGTTGGAAATCAACCTCTCACCATCCAAAGCGCACAAGTGCGAACAGGGCGTATGCGATGGACTAAAGAAAACAATATTCAGTTGATGTACGCATACTATAAAACTACAAACATAGAGACGGACATGACACTGTATCGATCAAGGATGCACAAACTATGGACACAACTACAACCCAATATACCTCGAACGGAACAAAATCTTGCTAGCCAAGTAAATTCTATTCTAAGAAGAAAAGCCTTGTCTCAGGCCGAACTCGAACACATCAAAAAACGAGTTACGGATGAGGCAGGTGCAGCAACAGGGAATATAGAGACGCGGCAAAGTGATGATGCAGCAGCATCGGATGAGAAAGATGAAAACACCACTCAAGAACTAAAACAGCAACAGCTAATCCGCAATCTTGCGAGTGAAGAATGGGACTTAAAGTTATCGGCTAATATTTTAAAATACGAAGGACTGTCAGATGAAACCCGACCTTCCATTCCAAAAATTAAAGTTAATAACGAAGTGATGAGATCTGTGAAAGAGATAAATATTCTTTTAGAACAGAAATGCCTAGCCTGCGAATCTTTAAAGGATACTTACCATCTGTGCTACGCCGCTGCTGTCACTGTATGTGAAGCGACGGGAACAATCCTAGGAAAAAACACAGAAATAAGCATCAGGAACAACAGAACCAAAGACCAAATCCCTTCATGGCAGATAAGAATTGAAAATAACATCAATAAAACGAGACAAAAAATAGGTAAAATATATAATTACCTGGACACCAGAACAGTTACATCAAAGAAGTGTAAGAGAGACGCTGAAAAACTGTTATTGAAAGAAGCAAAAATCCCACCACGTGCCCCAGACAGAAGAGCCTTAGCACTAGTGTACCTAGACCGCTTAAAACAAAAGGCAGCCACCATGGGAGCAAAAATAAGACGATATCACGAATCTAACAAACGTAAAGAGCACTTAAGATTGTTTGAAAAAGACCAGAAAAAGTTCTATAGGAAACTCAATGAAGAAACAAAAATTTCAAATAATGGACTGCCAGCAAAAGAAGACATGTACAGATTCTGGAACAGTATGTGGGGACAAGGTGTAAACCATTCCGACGAATACTGGTTAGCAAAGGAGGAAGATAGAAACCAGGAACTGGAACAGATGGCTGATATAAAGATAGAGAAAGAAGATGTTCAAAAAGCTATAGCAACAACGCAAAACTGGAAAACCCCTGGGACAGATAAATTACACAACTTTTGGCTAAAACATTTCTCGGCATTGCACGGACATTTAGCAGCACATTTTCAACGTTTAATCGACCATCCGGAAGAACTTCCTAAAGAGATATGTATGGGAAAGACTATTATGATCCCAAAATCAGAAAACACTCAAGACCCAAAAGAATACAGACCTATTACTTGCCTGTCCAACCTATATAAACTCCTCACAAAGATATTATGTAACAAAATAACAATGCATCTGGATACTAATAACATAATAGCTATCGAACAGAATGGATGTCGTCGAGGATCAAAAGGCTGTCAAGATCTGGTTATAGACAATGTAGTAGGACGGCAGGTCCAAGATAAACAGAGGCATATGTCAGCTGCCTGGATCGACTATAAGAAAGCATATGACTCTGTTCCTCATTCTTGGCTTAAAAAGGTTTTGGAAATTTATAAGATTAATCCAAAAATTACAGAGTTTCTCAATCATGCAATGACACTATGGAATACAAAACTAATTGTGACTGGACCGAAAAAAACATACGAAACGAGAACCATAAAGATATTCCAGGGCGACAGCCTGAGTCCAATCTGGTTTTGTTTGGCCTTAAACCCCTTGAATAAGATACTTTCAAACAGCAACTTAGGCTACAAGGTCACCAAGAGAAACAAAGTAGTACTAAATCATCTTATGTACATGGACGATCTTAAAGTTTATGCAAATAATCCCGAGCAGCTTCAAAGTCTGTTGGAATTGGTATCCCGTTTCAGTAAATCAATCCATATGGAATTTGGCTTATCTAAATGTGCTACTGTACACTACAAAAAAGGTAAGCTGATAAGTCATGAGAATGTTACACTAATGGATGGTACAGAGATAGAGACACTAAAAACATCTGCATACAAATATCTTGGAATGTTACAAACGGGGCAGATCAAGGATAAGGAAATGAAGACCAGAATGAAAAATACTTACCTAAAGAGAGTGAAAACAGTTTGTAAAACATACTTACCGGGCAGACAGAAGATTGCAGCAGTCAATAGATGGGCAATTCCCGTCCTGGCGCACACATACGGTGTCTTGAAATGGTCCAAAACAGAGCTGCAGGAAATAGACAGAGCTACTAGGAGAACACTATCTCAGTTCAGATTGCACCATCAGTCGTCTTCAGAAATCAGGTTGTATCTCCCCAGGATCCATGGAGGGAGAGGACTTATCAATGTTGAAAGAGCATGCAACAGACAAAATAACAAACTAGCAACCTATTTTATGCAAAGGGATACTTACCTTCATCCAGCAATATGCGAGCTTGTCCGAGGCTACTCTTCCTTGAACCTTGAAGTTCCATCGGTTCAGGAACAGCTTCGAGGAAAGGCTCTGCATGGAAATTATGCCAACGAAAGCCAGGCAGAAGGAATTGATAAAAGTGGATCTATACAATTCCTTACAAACATTAACCTTATGGGAGAAACCGAGGGCTTCATATGTGCAATACAAGATCAAGTGGTTAGCACTAGAGCGTATAGGAGGCATATTTTAAAACAAAACATACCAACTGACAAATGTAGAGTATGTCATAAGATTAGCGAATCCATCCAACACATCAGCTCTGGATGTGAGAGTCTTTGCGTCAGTCCACTACACGGAAAGACACGACAACATAGCAAAGATTATTCACCTGGAAATGCTAAAGTACCTAAAAATCAAGAACCCTGAAAAGAAATATTATGAATACAGGCCACAAGAATTAGAGGAAAACGAACATCATAAAGTATACTGGAATACGCAAATACAGACAGACAGATCAGTAGTTCATAATAAGCCGGACATTGTTTGGATAGATAAAAACGAAAAGAAAGCCTACTTAATCGACGTAGCTGTACCACTATATCACAACGTAGTCAAAACTGCAAAGGAAAACATTTCGAAGTATCAAGACTTGGCTTTCGATATGAGGCAAACCTATCATCTAAAAGCAACCCGAGTAATACCACTCGTCATTTCAAGCAATGGTCTGGTTCACATTGATTTTGAGAAGAACTTAAAGGAGCTGAAGCTACCAGAAAATATCATAAGTCAATGTATTAAAGCAGCTATTTTGGGTACGGTGAACATAGTCCGCAGAGTAATGAACATGGAGCCTTGAATGGAAATATTCCGGCGACATGTCATGGTACAACCGATAGAATCGTGAAAAAAAAAAAAAAAAAATGGCGTCCGCACTATATCCGCAACAGTATGGCTTTATTCCGTCTGCTATCTCAGCACTCTGCAGTTATTTCCGGCCACTACCTCGGCACCGAGTCGGTGAACGTCGGGCAGCAAATCAGAGCGCGTTATTTCTAGTTTGTGCCGATGTCAATGACGAAATCGAAACATGCAGCCCGTAGCGTGCTCTTAAATATAAGTTGTAATTTAGAGTTATTCGTCTTTATTTTACAACAAACAAAAGAAAATCCAGCGTAATGACAGTGGACAAACATTCCTCTTTTTATGTTCACGGCCTTTGACATTGTTGTCATTGCTTGACAGTGACAAGTTGACATTGCATTTCAATAAATTGAAATTTCAACATCCATTTCAAGTGTCCTTAGTGCATACCAACTTTTTTCAATATTGAAATGAGTGTCAATTGATATTGAAATTATTTCAACATTGATATCAAGTCAATGTCCTTTATAGTCGCACCACCTCGATAAAATATGATTTATTTTTAAAAACTTACAGTTCGCTAGTCGATTTTACAAGTCTTTTCACTGATCCATCCATGACATAAACTTTACCAGAAGAAGACCATGCCGCAAAGTGTCTAAACTTTTCCTTAGCGGCCCTTAATAATTGAAAGTATTTTGGAGTTAAATCTTCGTAGATAAGGCAACGAGTGCCACGTAACCTCTTCTTTGCATTGTACACTTCATTACGTTTAACGTTTGAAATTAAAGATACTAAAATTGGTCGAGGCTTATTTTCAGTTGGTTGACCGAGTCTAAAAATACCATCGACGCCATCTACACTGAGAGAAATTTTAAATTTCTGAGTCAATAAACCAGTTGTCCCAGTGCGAAGATCTTCATTTGGAACTTCTTGTTAAGTCCAGAAAATCATATTTTCGTTCGTTCAGCAAAACTCTCACCATGTTTTTTCCACAGTGGACGTTACCTTGCCGAGGAACAGGCTCACTTCCGCCGGTTTACTATCTAATCGATCTATCCTACCATTAAATTTGTCCTCTATAGTTGCTTCACAAACGTAAAACATACCTTCGAAATAAGTTTTTCTAAATCATCCACGCAATCATCTGCTGATTTTTTTGGCCTTCAGCAGAGTCCACAATTATGACATTAAACAAATTTCAAAAAATCATTAAAAATACAATAAAAATATTTTTCTACAAACGTCAGTAAAAATTTAATTTTGAACGCATGCTGTCAGTGCCTAAAATGTGACATTATGTTACTGATGGTAAAAGTAATTTACTTTTAGCACCAGTGCTAAAAGTAAGTCACGTCATTTACTTTTAACACTGAAGCGATAATTGAAAAAAAAGAAAAATCAAAAAAGTCAACGTAAAATAATTATTAAATAATTAAAGTATATAATTAATAATATAATTATTTACTCAAATTAAAAAGTACAATTAGTAAAATTACAATTGGAATAAGTTATTCCATGGCCAATTTCATTTATAGCTGCAGAACAAGTTATCTCTGACGTGAATTTTGTACCAAGATTAAAAGCAATGGTAGTATCCGCTGAGGTTCTGGATAAAATTTGACCTGCAATACTCGTTATATTTTGTAAAGAGTCTTCTATATAACCCTCCGCTACGGTACTGGACTTCCATCCACCGTGTCCCTTAATTGTATTAAGATTAGCCCCAGAATCTGCCAGCAAAACCGAGGATCTTCGGAAGCAATGTCCAGTATAAAGATGAGAATCGGGCAAATTTAGAAATTTAACAATATTGGCAGGCATCTTTTGGAATCAACACATTTGGTGTGTTGATTCCATCTGGAGTCGTGACACATTTATTCTTAATAAATTTTATAAATATTCTTGAATGGTTGATGGTCGCTGGACGGAGAGCTATGTACTTTTTGTAATAATTCAAATATAATGTACCGGTAATAACAAATGTTCGTTCCACATTAGTTTTTGTATCTGGAATATGCACGATTAATGAAGTTCCTACATCCTAGATATTATTTAATGTCAAGTTGCATATATAGTTCTTCCCGACGCGACGTGACGGCACGCTCCAAATATGCCGAAAATTACGGCAACTTTTTTCATAAGGTATATTTCATCCCACGCACTATGGGGTATTTTACCTCAAAACCTGGCCAATAATATTTTTATTTCTTTTTTGCATTCTTCAGACTTTTAAAACGTGAGAACATAAAGAAATTGCTTCAAATTTTAATACATACGTTTTTTATTGACAAGATTAAGATTGAAAATTAAAAAATTAAATACAATGTAAATACATAAGTTTATTCAGGTTGTCCCTCAATAACATGTCAATACTCGAGGGAGTGATTCCTCAGGTCATTATATGGAGAAAAGTTCCCAGAAACATAGATCCAGAAATGTATTGTTTCTAAGATACAGGGTGTTGAAAGTGAAAAACACTATATTTTTATTCGATTAAAAAATTGTTAGCACAAAATTGGTTGTAAACGATTTTTGTAATCTCTAACAAAACTGGCCTCTTGACTTTTTTCAGATCAATGGTTTTTGAGTGAAAAAATAAAATAAATTTAACAGGCTCTGCCCAACAATTCCAATGGATGCATATTCAATACAGACAAATTTATTTTACTTTTTCACTCAAAAACCATTCGTAGAAAAAAGTCAAGAGGTCAGTTTTGTTAGAAACTAGTGCGAAATCACAGAAATTATTGACATTTTGAAAAAAATGGCGTATCCATTTTTTAATCGAATAAAAATCTAGTGTTTTTCACTTTCAACACCCTGTGTCTTGAAAACAATGGGAACTTTTTTCCATAAAATGACCTGAGGAATCACACCCTTGAATATTGATTGAAAGACACCCTGTATTTTGTTGAAACACCAATTATTATAAAGTATCAGATTCCTCTGAGAAATTGCTTTCGGTCGATTCATTATCCGAAGAATTGTTTTCAGTCGATTCATCCTGATCAAAATGATGTGGCTTCAGCATTTCTAAAACTTCTTTAGGAAACTTTGACAGCTTTTTTTGTGGTAGTTGACGAAGGCTGGTAATATACGGATCAGAATAAATTAGTAGGTTGTTCAATACATCTTCATTTCTATTTTTTCTTAATATTTTTCTAGAATATGCCCTTCTATAGGTTCTGAAATCTTTGTTGCGGGCTTCCTGAGCTTCTTCATTCAGTTGCCCAATTGGGAGCAGAACTTTTGTAATAATAATTGGCCCATGAATAAGGATTTTGTGGACGGTTGGTGACATAGGGTACCACCCATATTTATCCAGGTACAATCTGGATGTTTCCAAACAATACATTTTAAATTTGTCAATATCAATTTCATATCCACTTGCAATAGTTTGCAGAATTCGGTGAAATCTTGTGATGATTTCCTCATCAATGCCTGTTATGGATGAAGAAGTACGTGCATTTTGGAAAAATCTCCTGGCTGTATTGCCATCGTTGCTGTTTCCGAATGACTGTTTGGGCTGGTCAATTATTAATCCTAGTTCAGTTCTGAATTTTTCTTGAATGGACTTTTTTGTTTCGGCTACTATTTTCTTCTCCTCGTTCCCCCTTGCTTGCCACTTTTTTAAAGAAAGCTTATAACTTATATGAATTACACATTCCATAAACCTAATCCATGCGTGCAAAATCGAGAGACCAAATTCCAAGTTTGTTTCATCAGCAGGTGTGGACATCACTTTCTCTAGGTTGTTAAAATCTTTGAATGTTAAATTGCAAATATAGCATTTTTGAGTAGAACTGGTTGCTGTAATGGCATTACATACCTTGCCATCAATCATTGTAAAAAGTAAAGTATGATAAACCACACACTGGCCGTTCTTCTCCATTCATTTGGACTATTGTGTATCTGAACCTTATGGGCCTGCAATACCGAGTTGAAGAGGGGCGAGGATTCTGCCAAACTATTATATTTTTATTTTCGTTAACAACTTGTATTGGCACTAAGGAAGTCATAAACACTGCTGCATCACTGTCTTCTTGTGAGTCAAACTTTTGTTTATATTCAACTGCTGATGAACCATCTATTCCCCACTTTGATATGAGCTTCAAATTTCCAATAGTTTCCGCATCCATTGTAAGAATAACCTCTTTCTGAGCTTCTACAAGTCGGGCAGTCGTATGATCCAAAAGGGCTTGTAAATTTACTTGAGCAAAAGTGGAAGTCACATAAATGGAATCATGGTCCGGGTAGCACTTCTTTTTTGCAGATTGAATGTGAGAGTAGCATGGAAATTCTTCTTTGGCCTTTGATCTAACAATGTTGTACTGATGCCGAGTTAGTTTGGCTTCCACTACCATTGACAACGCTTCGTCAGCAGATAATTGTTGCTGAGCTTGTTTTTTCTTGGACTGTAAATAAGCCTTCTAATGTTCTTCTTCTGCCTTGGCTCCTTCTGCCCTTTATCTTTCCTTCTATTATGTTCTGCAGCAGGGCATATTTAGGTCCTCTCATTATGTGTCCAAAGTACTCAAGTTTTCTCTTTTTAAGGGTGTTAATCACCTCTTCGTCCTTCTGAATTCTGCGTCGCAGTTCCACATTTGTAACCTTCTCAGTCCATGCAATCCTCAGCATACGCCGATAACACCATCTTACGAACGCCTGAAGCTTCTCCATTTCGGCCTTTTTAAGTGTCCAAGCCTCTGAACCATAGAGTAGAGTTGCAAATATTCCCTTTCTTAATCTAAGCTTTAAGTTGATGTCTCCACCGCACAGACATTTTTTGAGTTTTACAAAGGATGCTTTGGCTATTTCTATTCGAGCTTTTATTTCTGCTGATTGATTCAAGTTTTCGGTCAACCAACTACCAACATTAACGTAAAAAGTAGTACGTACGTACCTTGATATATACGACAATAAACTTGTTTGTAGAAAAAATAGTGTATTATATGTGTGCTAAAAATGATTTTATTTTGTTCGAAGGGATCA